TTGTGTAGCCACTAGGTAACAAAAGCTCAACACTGCGCCTAGCATTCTGGAGCACTTCTGTTATCTTTTGTACGTGTTTTGGAGTTTGTATGTGCTTCGGAGTTTGTACGTGCTTCTGAGTTTTTACGTGCTTCGGAGTTTTTACGTGTTTTGGAGTTTTTACGTGTTTTGTCTCTAGGGGTCACCGTAAAGATTCTTCTATTTATTCACTCCACATAAAATGTCTTTTTCTGGTGCATTTGTGGCCATCTCTTTGTGAGCACCAATGAAATTAGTGCCGCAGTCAGAGCGCAGTTGCCTTGCGGGTCCTCGGAGGGTGAAGAAACGCCTCAGTGCATTAATGAAACTTGAAGAGCTCATCTCTTCCACTACTTCAATGTGGACAGCCCTTGTACACAGGCACATGAATAATATTGCCTACCGCTTTCTGTTTGCTTGTCCCCCTCTTGTTCGCCTTGTAGTTACTTCCCATGGGCCAAACATGTCCATGCCCAAGTAAGAAAAGGGGGGCTCAACTTGGAGGCGATCTACGGGCAAATCACTCATTAATTGCTCCTCAAACTTCCCTCTCAGCTTCTTGCATGTCACACCTTTACTTATGACTCTGCTAATGCATCCTTTCTCTCCTACAATCCACAAGCCACTTTCTCAGACAGCGCGCCCTGTAAAATGCCTGCCTTGATGGCTTGCTTTCTCATGGTGGTGGCGCACAAGGAGGGTAGTGATGTAGTGACTGCCTGGCAAGATAATAGGGTTGGTGTCCTTTACTCCCAGCCCCGCGCGATTAAGGAGGTTGCATAAAGGAGGTTCTGTTTTTCAGAGATCCGCTTTATCTCCTCTGTATATGTTTCAAACTGCACATTTTTAATGATCATTGTCTCTGCTTGATCTAACAGTTCTGGGGTGATGGCCGTTTTACACATGTGCCATCCTGTACAGTTTGGCTCAACGTTTGATTGTTAAAAGCATTGTGCGATGTGAATCAAGTTTGACATGGTTTTCCGAAGTGAGCGCCATGTGGAGAAACGCTCCCAACGTCCTGAGCCCAAAACTTCCTTTGTAATGTTAGTGCAAAGTGTCTTTACCTCTGGGCGCACCTCTGTGTCGTTGTCTGGGTCCAGCAGTTTGTAATCAGTCTGCTCTAGATGGATGTATGAAGGGCACTGGAGAAACGCTGGACCTGTGAACCATGTCGTGTGTTCTAACTCAGCGGCTGGAACTGATCGTGAGCCGTGGTCAGCAGGATTCTTGTCAGTCGTAACAAAATGCCATTGCTCTGGAGTAGTTGACTCTCTAATACAACACACACGATTGTTTACATAGACATAAAAATGTCTGGATTGGTTGTGAATATAACCACGAACCACCTTGCTGTCTGTATAGAAACTAGTTTTGTCTATAGGGTGATCAATCTCTTCACATATCTGCCATTTCAACCGCCATTACTGCGGCGCAGAGTTCAAGCCTGGGTACAGTGAGCTCTGGCTGTGGAGCGAGTCGTGCCTTACCTAGGGCAAACCCAACCTGTGTCTTGCCATCCCCAGTGGTGACCTTGAGGTATGAAACTGCACATATTGCCTTCATGGACGCATCTGAAAAGACACAAAGTTCTACACATTTAGCCTGTGACAGTGACATCTTAGTGTAAGTGCGTGGAACGTTGACTTTGCTGAGGCATTGGAGGGACTGTTGCCATTCTATCCATTTGCCTTTCAGATCCTCTGGGAGAGGTGAGTCCCACTCTGTTGTCTGTAGCAACAACTTAGAAGCATCTTAGAAGCAGACGTCCTCGAACGGTGACTGGGGCCAAAAACCCAAGTGGGTCAAACACACTGTTCACAGTTGAAAGGACTCCTCTTTGTGTGTATGGCTTTTCAGCATGAGGAATGTGAAAAGTGAAATAGTCCTCCATTATATTCCACTTTACTCCAAGACTGCACTGATCTGGGAGTTCATCCTTGAACAGATCCAGATTTTGGAGATCCTTGGCTTGGTCTTGAGGTGAGAATGCGTTCATCACTTCAACCTTATTTGATGCTATTTTTAAGAGGCGAAGATTTGAGTCTGCTAGCATGTCTTGTGTGCGTTTCAGGTCGATAGCTTCATGTTCGATGGGGACAGACTTTAAAGCATCATCCACATAAAAATCATGCTCAATGAAATGGCGAACATCTGACCCGTATTTGGCTTCTCCCTTTTGCGCGGCCCTCCTCAAACCATATGTGGCCACAGCAGGCGAGGGGCTGTTTCCAAATACATGCATGCACATTCTGTAATCCACGAACTCTTTCTGTGGATCGTTGTCTTTGTGCCAGACAAACCTCAGTACATCTCTGCAGTCCTCGCGCACCAGGAAGCAATAGAACATCTGCTGGATATCTGCGGTTACTGCGACTGGATGTTTTCTGAACCTCACTTGTCATGGTTCGGCCGTGTGGCAGGCAGGATGAGGACCCAAATTGCAAACTCACAGACACGGGGGATAAACTCAAAATGCAGCTTTATTGCTGACAGGTGATAAACAATAACGATGATACAAAAGCAATGCAAAACTACACTAAACTGGGAGAAGCTAAAGTAACATATACCGGAAGACACGGGGAGAACCACACACGGCATGAGGGAGAACGCGACGCCGAACAGAGGGAGATGCAGACAGAAATACACAGAGGGTTAACGAGGAAAGTGGGAACACACGGGGAACACAGCTGACACAGATAACCATAACGAGACACTGACGGGAGACGGGCAGAGTCAAACAGGAAGTACAGAGGTTCAGACAGGAGGAGAGAGAGAGCACGGGGAAAACACAGACATAACGGGCTGGGGAAACATGGAACAACCACAAAGGGAGACGAGGGCTCATAAATACAGAGAGGGCACACATGGGGGAGAGAGAGCACGGGGAGAACTTAGACATAACGGGCAGGGGAAACATGGAATAAAACATAAGGAGAGACGAAGGCTCACAGATACACAGAGGGGCACACAGGGGGTGAGAGTCACAAAGGGAAAGCACTCAGGGAACACCACAACAGGGCAACTCAGGAAACAGAGCCTAAACAGGGAACTGAAATACAAAGATACATAAAACTAAGAATACTGAGCCAACATGGCCCAGGACCATGACATCACTAGCACACCTAATAGACTGTTGTTCAGATTAGGTCCTGATAACAGCACTGTGTTGAGCGACATACTTTCAAACTGCGCGCTGGAGTCAAATACAACTCGGATTTGTGACGGCTTTTGAGGATGGTACACTCCGAAATAGGGCAGGTACCAACACTCTTGTACTGGGGGTGCGAGCTCCACGTGCCCATTGTCCAACATTTTCTGCATAAAGTCTATCAGGTGAACTTTCATTTTTGGGTTTTTGTCTAGAGTTCGTTCAAGTGAATTGAGGCAACTGAGTGCGTAGCGGCGATTGTTAGGCAGCAATGCTCTGGGCTGGCGGAACGGCAGTGGAGCCACCCAGCTTTGTGACTCATCCTGGAAACACTCATTGTCCATGATATTCAGGAACTGCAGATCTTCCATGGAGGGTGCAAGCTTATTGTCGTTCTTGGTCTGGCAGAAAACATTGTTTCCTATAGTTCTGTTTTGTGTTCTGTCCTTTATGTTTGAACCACCAAGTATTAAGTGTCGATTTAAGAGACTGGTGTCTGGCTTGACAGTAAAGTGGCTTTCGCACGGGGAAAAATGAGTTGGCCTTCCATTCAATAGAACATAAGTCTTAAAAGTGACTTAGGAAGGCTTATGAGTATTGCCTAAGCACACATCTCCTATTATCACCCAGCGTATGGTGCATTATGCGGACCATTGATCTGACTGCGCACTTTATGAACTCTCAAAATGTCTCTTCAAAGCAACAGCAAAATGTCTGCACCACTGTCCAAGGGTGGTATTTTGTGTGCTTTGCCTTTGAGGTGACTGTGTGCGTAAGCCGGGGAGGGAGTGGGAATTTTCTCTCTTTTGTTGGGAATCATGTTGCACTCAATTAACATGGGCAGCTGAATAGCGAGGGAGCTATCGATTGCCTCTATCATATACCCAGAGGCTCTTCTGCCAGAAGTGAGACCTATGCCACTGCATGTCTGGGGGGTGTATGGCTCTGCCTTACCATTAACCTCGAACATGTCAAAAAACTCAGAGCGTGCTAGTGAAACGTTACTCTGGTCATCTAGCATGACAAACATTCTTTGGCGTTTACTAGGATTGTTGGCAGGATAAACATTAACCAGGCATATTTTTGAGTAAGATTTCCCAGAAAATCCTTCCCCACATACCTCAGTGCAACTTGAAACAACTGCAGTCTCTTGTAATTCTTGTTTCTCCCCGCCGTGACTTGCTGGGGGCTGAAGAGCTTTTGGAGAGCGAGGAACATCTGAATGCAGAGCTGTTGGGTGCTTATCACTGTTACATTCAGAGCATTTGATTTCTGCTCGACAGTCGCGAGCTACATGTTTGTTAGAAGCGCAGCACTTGAAACAGATGTTGTGTTGCTTTAATATCGCCTTTCGTTCCTGAATTGGCTTTTCTCTGAAACTTCTGCACTGTTGTAAGGCGTGAGGTTTGTTGCGCACAGGACAACATTTGTTCGGTCCTTCCTCGGATATGGCCGTAACGTTGGTTTTATGCACTGAAACTGACCTGCGGTTGTTGCTGTAACCATCTCCAAGCTTGTCCCTTTTAACTCCAGAGTTGCAGGTTGACAGCAGATTGAAGCTTGGATCGTTGCGTGCCTTTGCTTGTGTCTGTATGGACTGTAAGAAGAACGTGAATGGAGGGAAGGTCACCTTGTGCTGCTACTTGTAGTGTGAGCCTTCCATCATCCACTTGTCTTGTATCCCATACGGCAGCTTATCCACAATGGGAGCGACACCTCACACTGTATCGAGATAGGAGAGTCCATGCAAGTACCCTTCTTGTTTTGCTGCATTTATCTCCTGCAACATATCACTCAGCTCTCTTAGTTTTTGATTGTCTCTGGGCCCTATTTTAGGAAATTGATCAAGTTTGATGAAAAGAGCACTTTCAATGTCTTCCGGCGACCCACAGATTTCTTCTAGCCTCTTCCACATTAGCTCTAATGCCACAGCTGGGTTTGTTATGTTTACAGCTTTAATGCGATGTGCATGCTTGCTAGATTCTGGGCCAAGTGATTTTACAAGGAGGTCGATTTGTTCAGATGCCCCTAAGCTCTAGAGTGTCAATGGCGTTGATGAAAGATGACTTCCAAGATAAATAGTTCTCCGGCTTGTCATCAAACTTGGTGAGTTCAGAGGTTAACA